CTTGAATGAGTGGGTCTGATCTTTGTGCAGGGTGGTGGCCTTAAACTCTCCAGCACACTGCAGTTGTCCCACAGGGCCGGTCAGGCCAGCGCGCGGCTTGGCCAGTTGGTGGCTCCATCATTAAGCCACACACATCTTCAGTCATCGCTAACACATCAGCTCCAGTACCAATTTGGAATGTTATGGAGCTTTTGTTGGTAACGCCGGCGTAGGCATCACACTCAGTAAAACAGTCCGCATCACCTAAATCCAGCAAGCAAACCATACAAGATTGTTGCTATTACATGCACCAGACATTTATGAATTCCTCTGACACCTTTATATAGCTCCATGTCCTACATAATGCTAATAAATCACGATTTCCCCTCGCATCTATCACTCAATGTCCACAAACGGGCGTAGGAATCGGTGATGCGGCTGTGAGCTGATTGTAGTGAAGTTAGCTAACACTTCCAGCCGACTGTATGGTGACGTCACAAGGCCACAAAATCACTGCCATCCTGGTGATAGTTTGCACGCCTATGACCGGCAAGTCAGTGATGGGACCCGGGCGTTTCTCGTCACATGGCGGTCTCTACCAGTCGGACGGAAAGCGATTACTGAAAGTTATGTGTTGTAGGAATAGGCCCATGCATCACTTTGCACGATCTCTGAGATGAATATGAAATCCGGCCAGATGGCAACGGCCGTGACGGATAAGACAAGGCCAGCATATGAACAGGGTCGGACGAGACCCGACGGAAAAGACCAAACCAGACGAGACCAGGCGGTCAAGACAGGACTGAGTAAACAAGACGAGACCGAGCAGACTGCACGGATGCCAATAGGATCCGACAAGATCAGGCATAACCAGACGAGATTTGAAGGGATCCGAGGGCACCATGCATGACTGAAAGGAACCGGACGAGACGGAACATACAGAACGGGACCAGGCGGAACTGGACAGAACGTGATGGGCCCAGAAGAAACCGAACTAGATAAGACTAGATGTTACTGGAACGGATTGGACATGAACGAATGGGACCGGACCAAACGAGACGAGACAAAACGACCGGGCGGGATCAGACAGGATCAAACAGTATCTCAAGTGACGAGAAGGAATCGGGTGGGACAGAATGGGAACGCATCAGGCAGAATTGGACCCGATCAGACCTGAACCAGATGTAGCGTCATGAAGGGAGACAGAACCGGGCGAAAACAGGCCAAATATGGGGAAACCGGGCAGGACGAGAGCAGGTGGGACCGGACAGACCCGGAGGAGCCTTGACCAGACCTTGCGGGATCAGACGGGACTAGGCGGGACTTGGCGACGGAACTCCCTCTGTTCGGCATTGTGGCCCCTTGACCAACACACGGCCTCTCACATTTCAGGCACCTCAAACAATGCAAATCGCGTGCCCGGCCTTGTTCCTTCTCAGGAAATGCCTCCTGGGCTGAGACCGACACGAAATTAACTGTTCGGTGTCAGTCGTCTCTGGCCCAACTAGAGGACACGCGTTCTCCCAGAGGATTTCAATCGATGCAAGAGTTCACCTGATTGACATTTAAAGTCACGGCCCTACAGACTGGGAGCCTGAATATGACGTACAGCCAGCTCTTCGGGCGGTTCAGCCTTTCCATCGGGCCTTTGATCGCCAGCCTCGGCGGGTATTTCGTGACTCTCTTTAGACGCCCTCCAACACTGCCCTGGTCGACCCGGGGCCCCTTGTCAACACAGGGCCCTCTGCTACGCACTGTGGACTTCTGGCCAACTCGGCTCACTAGCTCAGAGGTCAAACCAATGTGAATCACGGGCCCCGGTCTTGTGCTTGCTGAGCAAACTAGTCCTCAGGCCCAGACCGACACGGGCCCGACTGATGAGTACTGATGCTGCCTGACCGACACAGGGAATACCATCGACTCGAGGGGGGGGGGGGAGGGGGACAGTGGAGGGTAAAGGGCCCTCTGGCCGGCATTTGAGAGTCCGGTAATACGAGTCGGTCGGGAGGAGGTGCACATGCTCCTCTGCCCTCCCTTGCCTGCATCGCTGCTCGGACAACAGCGTAGGAGCCTCCGAGTAAATAAAAATAAGTCAATGACAACGTGGAAGACTCCTTACTGATCGGATTAAACCGGAAAGCGATATAAAGGGCTCCTAGCAAGACCGGTCTCTGGACAGCACAAAGAGCTTTGCAATTTCGATTGCCGATCTCTTAATCAGTGAATACTTATTTTTGTCTGCTCATAATCTTTCACCTTCGCTTACGACTGTTATCGGTTGTGTGAACGCCCAAAGATGTCAACTTTGTTTTGTTTTGTGCAAAAATTGTCTGCTCTGCCGGCTATGACCCCTTGGAGCCTCAAGAAAACCCACGATGTCGTAACCTCCTCTCTGGATCCTCCACTAGACACATGCGGTCCCGTACGACACTGTCATCAGTTGGCAGTGATCTTGTAGCCTTGTGACGTCACCGTACAATCAGCCGGAAGTATCACAGAACTTCACTACAATTAGCTGGCAGCTGCACCGCCAATCCTACGCTCGGTTGTGGAAACTATATGGAGTGATAGACGTGACAGGAAAACGCGCTTAATTGACATGTTATAGGTCGTAGAGCTATGTAAAGGTGTGAGAGAAATTCACAAATGTCTGGTGCATGTACTGATAATTTTCTTGCATGATTTACTTTCTCAACTTAGCTGATGCAGACCGCTTCACTGAGTGCGAGGCCTGCGCCGGTGTTACCCTTTTGTTGATGGTCAGAGAAACGAGTCAGGACTTTTCACCACTTGTATGGGACTTAGCTGCTCCCAAGAAGTATTTTGATGTTTGTCCACTCGCTTGGCTTTCAGCTTTATTATCTTCAGTCACTACTTCTTGCACTGTGCGGCTGCGGCACACTGATGAAAATCGGCCTAGTCGTCCACACTTCTAACATGTGTTCCCGTTAACTGGTTACTGCCCTCCAGTGGGGGTGGTGAAGCCACAGCGGCCTCACGGGGCCTGTTTTCTTCCAGTTAATAATCTTGAATCTTAACTGATCTATAATCTTCTCCAGGCTATTGACATCTTCATGTTTCTCCCAATCAAACTGGGAATATTCTTCTTGGGCGGAGAAGCCAGCACATTTGAAGAAAATGTCAGTTTTCACGTTTTCTTTTTATCAAGCTGATTGGCATAATAGAATTGCAAGGAGCTAGAATCGCTTTTGAACTAGGGTGGAAGTGAAAAATTCCATCGCAAAAAGACCGTGCGGGAATGAAAAATCAATTCACAACGGATGGAACTTATGAGCTCGTGACTGATGCTTCAGCAAACGAAGACATCTATTTCAAGTTGGCATAGACGTAATATCAGGAACCTGACAAAACTATTTCGTTTTTTAACATCTTAGGCCATTAAAGTGAAACAGAATACATTAACACGCGCTCGGGTCGGGGGGGGGGGGCAAATTGATCCCACCCCCGGGGGCTTTTCCCGAATGGTTTCTGAACGGCGCGGCGTAGCCACGCCAAATTTTGCATAGCTGTAGAAAATTACATAGGGGATCGTTTGACACACAAATTTTAGATGTACCTTGCAGGGTGGCCGACCTATGACAGGTCAACGTCAGCCCGGGACCCTGTACCTCTGGTTTTCCGTTGTGCACGATCACCTGGCGGGCAGCCACCGAGCGATTCGCCGATCCACCCGCCCGCCTGAATGATCGGACTGGGTTATGGCCCACAGTGATGAGTCCACCGCAGTGCTCACATATAGCTGCTCCGGCCCCGTGCTGAGCACCGGGCGGCGCGCGGTCTCCATCATCCAACGTCGTGCTATGCAATGCCATAACTTGCAATTAAGCTGCGGCAGGCCATGTCAAAGTTCGGTTGTTCGACTGGTGACGGCGGGAACTCTGAGATGAGGCGAAGCGACGCAAAAGTGATTTTGCCTTGCTTCTTCCCATCCGACGTAATAATGCTCATGCCAATTTTTATTCCTCAAGATGGAAAGGCAAGACTGCTCGCGGCAACCCCGCGACCAGCGCCCGTGCGCCAAGCACGTAACTTTGGGCACCTGTGTAATCTGGAACAATGTCCCGAAATCGATAACCTAGGCGACGTCCTAACTGGCGAAGAGCAAACGTTTCAGAGGAATTCTGCGACATGCCGTCACATCATGTCATGGGAAGCAACTGGCGACGACGAAGACGACACAGATTTGCGCCACTGCGCAGCAGACACATTTCACCTATCTCAGCCGCTACACAGAGAGCGGCGCTCCCTCGCTGGGATTGCCGTTTGGCGAAGCTGAGCACCTGTACAGACGAGCGGAGAAGGTACCCGGCCCGCGGCGGTCGACGGCCACCGGCCAGCAGCGCCCTCTCCAGCGCCGCCGCCGGCCACTCAAAGCATAACGACAGAACGGCGGCCAGCGCCACGTTCACCACCAGATGGGCCAGGAACCAAAACACGAACAGCGTGTGCGTGAAGGCGAACGGTACGCGCGCCTGGGTGGCGAACGACACCTGCAGCTGCATGGAGGTCAAATATGCGCCGAATGTGAGTCGGCCGAGCGGCGCCCAGGAGGGCTGTGAGAGCAGGCTGTTGACCGGGCCGCCGTGGCCCGTGGCGCAGGCGAGCACGACCCAGCCGCAGGCCAGCGCCCATGCTGGCCGATGCAGCGCCGCGTACGCCACGGCCACGGCCGGCATCCAGGCCCGGCTCGGCTCTCTGTTGAAGGCGTGCATGCCATACACGACCAGCAGTGCAACGCCCGCGGCCAGCACCCACAGCAGCAGGTTGAGCGGCGTGCTCAGGCGCCGGCGCAAGCGGCCAGTGCGCGCCCCGTCCAGCAGGAGGCCCAGGCCCAGCCCGATGATGTACGGCGAGGCGGGCGACCACGGCGCGTTGTACACGAGCAGTGTGAAGTCGCGTTGCGTCTGCCGGTCGTTGGCGTGCACGTTGAGGTTGAGCAGCGTGGGCGGCAGATGCTTGACGTACGTGATGACGCCGGGAATGATTGCGGATACGACACCCTAGAGCGTCAGCCAGGCGGCGCCGGGACGCCGGTTCCACAAAAACGGCAGAACTAGTAGCGGTGCCACCACGAACATCTGAAAGTCAAGCCCCGCGTACCAGGCCTGGTCGATACACACCGCCTCGCCGTTGGGGTACAGGTTGTTGATGTAGAGCGGGTTGCACCGCCAGTAGCGCCGGCACCCGGTGACGCCGAACATTCCGAAAAAGAGCGCGGTGAAGGAGCCGCGGCCGATGTGGCGCCGCAGCGTGGCCGTCAGCCACACCACCACCGCGTACAGCGGCGTCAGGCGCAGATACCGGTGCAGGTACGTGCTGAGCACCTCGCGCACGCCGATCCCGCGGCCAGCGCGCCGCGCGTTCATCAGTGAGTAGTAGAACATTGCGCCGCTGAGCAGCAGAAACGTGTCAACGGCAGGGGGCGCGTTCATGATGGCCTGGAACGGCAGCGGCCGAGTGACCTCCGGCAGCGCACCCATGTTACTGAGCGGCAGCAGCAGGAAGTTGACGATGTACGTGTGACCGAGGATGGCCCAGGTCATGGAGATGAAGCGCAGGCCGTGTGGGCAGCCGATGTTGTCCGGCGCCGTCTGCACGCTCAGCAGACGTCGCACGTTGCGATACAGCGAGAACGCGCGTACGCACACCGTCCGCCAGTCGGGTGGCAACGGCGCGCCTCTGTACACGAGCAGTGCCCGGGCGCGCTCCTCGTGCGTAGCAGCCATATTGACCGCCGTGCAGCCGAGCACTACAAGTCCCGTCAGCGTCAGAAAGGCGACGGCTGCCCAGTCGCCGCCGTCGAGCACCGGCGCGTCGTCGCGGGCTTGACACTCGCCGACAACGACGCGCAGCCCATTGCCTTTCAGCAGCAGGCCCAGCGAGATGCGCACGTCGTGCGCGCAACACGACGAGGGCACGCAATAAGCGTAGCGCACGGCGCCCGGCAGGAGGTCGGCCAGCGTGGGCAGTGCCGGTGCCTGCCGCTGGCCCGTCCTGCTGGGCGCAGACGCGCTGCTGGCATCCGGCACAACCGCGGCCGCGCAGAGCCGGCCAGAGAAGCCGCGCGCGGACGACTGCGGGCCACGCGAGGCGTTCAGCGCCGCCTGCACAGCCAGACACTTGTCCCAGGCGCCCAGCAGGTTCAGGCTGCCGAACAGCACGCCGTCCGGCAGCCTTCCTGAGGCGTCGGCCATGCGCAGCGCCCAGCCAGCTGGCGCCCGACTCAGCAGCGCGCGCAGGTAAGCCCGACCATCGTTGCGACACAGCTCGCCGGGTACACCCAACTGAAAGGGCGCGAGCCAGCCCAGCAGCCAATCAAACGACGTCTCGCCGTCGCTCATCGCCTCGTCGCGCGCGAGCTCATCGGACTCCTCCAACTCGTAATTGCGCACTGTGCGCCTGGACCCCGCGGCCGGAGGCGCCTTCCTCGCGCGCGTCCAGTCTGCCACCGCTCCGCTGCCACGCCGAGCACCGCAGCCGCGGAGGCGGGCCGCGCGCCGGGCCTCGGCCAGCCGCGGTCTGACCAACGTTCACGCGTCGCGCCCGGCACTCCGCACCCGAGCTCAAACAGCCCAGCCAGCACGCCGGCCGGCAGCCGGCCCGCCACGACCGGCACGCACCCGCCGAACGGAGCCAGGCGGGCGGCGGGGCGCGGGCCGTCCGCGCCGACCGGCGCCTCGGCTCGCACGGCCAGCACCGCCGCCGCCGCCGCCAGCCAAGCGAGCACCGACGCCGTCATCTCCGCCGCCGGCCACGCCGCACACCGATCTGGCTCGCTGCGCTCTATCGCCGCCGTCGGCTGATGAGGACCGGATCCACCGAGCCTAGCCTATCTGAGGCATCGACTGTCCTGCAGACACGGCGTGCTTGAGCCGCGCCAGCCCGCGATGCCGGGGGCTTGCCTCGCGCAAACACTCTGTGCCAGTCGATCTGACTTGCACAAGGCGTAATTCGTCACCACAGGAAATGCAAGTCTTAGGTGTCTGCGATTGACATAAAAGGTTCTGCGCTGATGCAGCCATCGCAGCGACAGTGAAGACGACGGTGCCCAGATCTCTGTACATGATGCCAGTCGGAAAATGCTCTTTGCTGTGGCTACTCCATCCTTGATCAGGTTTACCTTCTCAGTCAGTGGTTCAGTGTAGCACACAGTTGGGCTGCTGCCCAGCTACGACGAACTCCAGCCCACAACTTTGATGATGGAACCGACCAGACTCGTAACGTTGGTTCCACAGCATCCTTGACCACACCGCGCTCACCCTCTCTTTCTCATCCTCGCCCCGCCCCCCCCCCCCCTCACCGGAACCGCTCCAGTAAAACCGCGCCCCCCCCCAAGTTCTGACACTTCAACCATTCAAATGAATGCGTTTAATCAACTCCGCTCAATTCGTGTCATTTATTTCAATGCATCAAATGTCCACAGCACAGACCCGCGTCGTGTCGTCTGTTCGCTCGGATGATTACCCTGGTCGCGGCCTTTGCTTGTGCCCGACGCCTGCTCCGACGCAGGTGTTAGCACCAACGTGACACAGGCCGGCTGCCGAACCCCCCCCCGTGGACTAGGCTGAAATAACACGGAAACAACACAGGAGAGGTGGACAGTGCTGCCCTGCAGCGGCGAGCGCGTCGCAGCAGTGCGGCACTCTTCCAGTCCATCCAGCAGCACGGCTTCGTCGAGCCCGGGGCGCCGTGGCCCCGCAGCAGTGCGGCACGGTCCCAACCCATCCAGCGGCACGGCCTCGGCGAGCCCGGGGCACATTGGCCCAGCCACAAAACGCTACGACCCCCGCTCCGATACCAGCACTGCCACTGCTAAAGGGCTCAAAGTTTTTCCTCTCTGTCACACCATTCAGGTCAAATGTCTCGTCAAAAAGCAGCCCCAGCCGTAGATGCCAGCTGAAGAGTACAAAGCAGGTAACTTAACGTATCGTACTTATCCCAAATCGCACAAAAGCGGGTAACTTAGGAAGGCTGCACACAGCATCACAGTGATGAGAATCGCGCAAAGAAGATGGAGTCAGCAGCATCCATGGCCAGGTTGTTTCAGGAGTTTCTGGAGCCCACTGTAAGAAGTTCTTAACTGGAACTTGAAGGGGATCAAGATAAAAGGTAAAGCGGCAACCTGAACATGATGCACAGCATCACAATTGAAACTGGGCTTGACATTAGGAAATCCAACTTTTGGGATTCAAAACCGTGCCTCTGGTTGATGGTACCTAAATTTCAGTGGGCAACAGATACTACCACACAATCAATATTCCTTCACTGCACAGCATATATTGCATCCAGTGACACTATAAGAACATTGCATGATGGAAAACTTGCAGTTTTTTAGGTCATGGTATACATTGGTACCTGATGTTAAAAAAGAGCATTGTACATCAATCATCGTTGTTAAGGTAGAACATATCGTAAACAATCGCAAAACAGGTCATCTAAAATCTTACCTTGGAACTTAAACAACTACAATAGCGACCATCCCAGCGCTGAAAACCCAGCAGCCGCGACCCCGGCGCCATTGCACGGGTGGTCACAACATTACTACGCATCAAGAACCATAACAATTCAAGGGGTCAAGGTAACAAGAATCCGATGAAATGTCTTTCTTACATATCCAAGCAGTCTTCCGTACTGTTTGTAGATTGGTGGACATGGGGGGGGGGGGGCGGGGGGCAAATTTGACGTTTTTGGGAGGGGAATGAGCAGCAAAATGAGAACATGGCGGCTAAAAAAACTTCTTAATACGGTACATATATATGGTATGGAACATGGATGCCGATGGGACACTGGATTGAAGGAGATAGGGTAGGAAGGTTAGGTTAGGTTAGGTTAGGTTAGGTTAGGTTAGGTTAGGTTAGGTTAGGCTAGGTTAGGTTAGGCTAGGCTAGGCTAAGTTAGGTTAGGTTAGGTTAGGTTAGGTTAGGTTAGGTTAGGTGAGGTAAAGCTAGGTCAGGCTAGGCTAGTTAAGCTTAGGTTAGGTGGTTATCTTAGGTCAGGTTAAGTTAGTTTAGGTTAGGTTAGGGCAGTTAGATTAGGCTAGTTAAGGCTAGGTTCTGGTCTATTCTGGCCTGTCTGTTTCATGAACTTACCTAAACGCTATAAGAAACGTATTTTATAACATTATTATTGCTACCTTGGCCTTGTACACTTTTTATGGTTATTGATGTGCATTAATGTTGTGACCAGGTGCCCACCACACAGCAATGGCGCTGGGGGATCGAGGTTGTCGAGCGTGTGTGGCGCTCGAGAGCTAGCTATCGTAATTATTAAAATTTGAAGGTAGCAGCATGAATCTACCTGTGTTATGATTCTTTATGATATGTTCCGCCTTAAGCATGGCAAATGATGTACAATACTCTTTATTAACATTAAGTAGCAATGTGTACGGTGCAAGTCTCGATCCAGGCTGATAGAAACTAATACTTAAAATAAGGTGCACACGTTGAACAATGCCCAGAGCACATGACAAATTATGATTGAAATGCCATGCAAGCCCCAATAATATAAAAAGGAGCATCTGGAGCAGAATAGTAAGTGCAGCCATGTTCTAGCCAATGTACGATCAATCTCATCTAAGCAGTGTCTGAATCTTGGGTGTTTCTTGGTGTTTTTAGCCCCAAGACATTTTGTTCTCCACAAACATACACTGGAAGGAAAGGAAAAATTGTTCTCTGTGAGCGAATTCAGATGAAGGCAAGCTGCTCCTGAAACTTCGACGGCATCGCGTGCCACACTCGCACGACTAAACGAGGGATACTGCTTGCCGGGTACAGTGGAATCTCTCTACCATATCACACGCAATCTTTCCTTGCAATGCACTCAGTGCCCAGGCCCGTTGCTGCTCATCATCGCACGTTTAACCCACCCACCGTCCAACGACAACAGCGCGCTCAGACGCCGGGCCCGAACCCGCGCTCAAACGCTCAAATCAAGTGTCTATTGATGGCCGAGGAAGCATATCCTCGAAAATATTTAGTACGTATTCTTGCTAAGAGGGGAAACGGTGTTTAGTACCGATTCGCAATAAAAGTGGCGAAGTTTAGTACGTCTAGATACTAAACAGAGCAGCCCGCTAACCAAGCTGACAAGAGGAAATGAGGCTGTGTAGAGGTGGACGTCGTGAATTTCTTTCTTCGATGGTAGTAGAAAACCTTTACCATTTTGGGATCTCAATTCCCATTTCAATGCGAGTTGCTCCTAGTGCGCGGCGGTGTCAGTCGGTTGGTGGTCAGCGGGGGGATGGTGGAAGTGATTGGGAAGCGTGCATGGAGAAACTCTCGCGCGTAATTTACAGAATCTACCGGCTGAGTGTGATAATGATCTATCCTGGTTTAAAGGGCATTGGAAAAGATATTGTCATCCGGGTAGTGCAAGGAATGGGATACTAGTCCCGAGATGTGGTTAGCATCAGACTTGGGTTCGACTCGAATATCTTGAACCAGCTCCGGATTGGCTCACAGATTGTGGAATCTGACTTAGCTCGTGACTCAGCTTTCCATTTTTCATTCGGCTAAGTTCAGACTATATTTACATTCGAGCACTTGGCTGACCCATGACTCACGAAGATCGCAAAATCAAATATCAAGCTCTGGCTCTTTTATATGCAGATGTATGTGTTATATATATATATATATATATATATATATATATATATATATATATTGTCTGGTTTCTGGCTGAGATTTGGCAAACCAGGATGAACAACATGGGCTTTTCTGTTTAGAAAATGTGATAATAATTCTGTGCTGATGCTGAAAGTTTTATGACGCATTACTCACATGACTTCAAAATTCAGTGCTGGAAAAGTATAAACAAAAATTACAAAATTTAGTTTCTTACTTTATGGGACGATCCTAACGGACAAGGATACGTTCGCTCGTTCCACCTAGTTACACAGGTCTACGGTCAATATTGCTGGTATACTTGCTCTGATATTGCCTTGGAAATACCGGTTTCAGTTGATCTGAGGTCACCGAAGATTTCAAAGATTTCTAAGGTAATCTGCACATCGTCAGGCATGTCATAGATGTCACATCAATACCTGCGTGCAGTTGTACGCGACATCCACTGTTTGAATTTTTTAATTAGACGATTTAATTCTTGGATATCACAGACACAGCGTACTGTTGGCACCGGAACGTTAGGGGCATACTTCGGACATCAAGTTAGAACAAACCACCTGGTATGACTGCACTTTTTCCTAGTGTGCGTTTCAGACCACGTGACATTTTCTCTTAGTTCAAACGCGAATTAATGGAGCATTCCTTTCACTCATGCTAGTAACAGCGCAGAAAAATCAATTGTAGGTAAAGGCCACCGTGATGCATGCTCTGACGTCAGACACATAGCAAGAACGTTCTCCTGGCGTAAAAGCTAGATACCGAAAGCGACGGGACAGAAAGGACAACGAAACATCAGAGCACACGTTAGTGCATGACAGATGGCACGGTAGGACAAAACTTGGGCGAGGGGGGTGGGGGGATTTCGAGGATTGAGTGCAGAGGGCAGAAAGCGGAGGACAGAGGTCAAGACGGCCAGAATGAAAGACAGAAAACAGATAAACACAAAACCCACCAGCCCTAGCCAGCGCACACATATGTCTCCGATAACGGGTGGGCAGCGCAAGCCGTTGCTCTCAGGGCGCACGACCCTGCCGGTACGGGAGCTCCCGTTCCTTGTCCCGCCCGCTCCCTTCCCATTACCCACTTTCCCGCATCCGGCCCACTCGTCACTCCTAATCCTCGTTTTATGGGGGCCGTCATGCCCCCTCGTCCGCGTCCCCGGGTTGATCGGATCCTGGTGGCTGAGGGGCGCGTCGTGCGGGTCAGTCACGGCGCGTCCCAACACTCCACTTTGGCCAGGATATCCGGGGGCGTGGGGGGGCCCGTGGGGCCCCACAAGGGTCTAGCGGCTTGTCGCTCGCGTTGCGGTCACCGAGGACGTGATAGTCGAGGAACTTACAGGGTTTGGCGTGACGAGCGCTCGAAGGATTCTCGCCTCGTCACCCTTCACCTTATTTAGGGACGATCGGTGCCATCAGTGGATTGTATATCTTTTATTCACATGTGTTTTGCCACTTAAATTCTCATCTTCCTAAAAATGTCAGCCACCTTATTTAGACACTGCAATTTGACGACCGAAATAATCTTGATTGTACCTACTCGCTATGCCTTACCTCTCTCTCTCTCTCTCTCTCTCTCTCTCCTCTCTCTCTCTCTCACGCACGCACGCACGCACGCACGCACGCACGCACACACTATATATATATATATATAAATATATCTATATATCTATATCTATATCTAGAATATATATGTTGAAGTCTAGAAGTTGATATCCAGAAGTTTGCTGACATCAGCTATATATACATATATAATATATATATATTATATATATATATATAGATATATATAGATATAATATATAGATATAGCTGATGTTCAGCAAACTTCTGGATGAACAACATTGGTTTTCCTGTTTAAAATTCCTGTAAGAATGCTGTGCTGATGTTGCAAAAAATCTTATGACTTATGCTGCATAGTGTTAACCTTGACATTCAGCTCATGAAATGTGCGACAAGTGGGAGTCAATCCATGAGGCAAAACAACATTTTCCCTGGTGAGCAGACGAAGCACATATCTCACCCCAACAGGATTGACTCATGAACAGATTTACAATTCCACTTGAGTTGGACACAGGTCATTCAGCCAAGATGTGCATACATTTTCCAGCACAATCAACATGCAAAAATAATGCCTGTTTGCCTGATATCATCACCACAACCAGGTAGCCACCTACTGAAATGCAACATTTTTACACACATATATGCACATGCTAACCAGACATGTGTTTGATGCTTGGTGAATTGTGAATCAGCTGACAAGTGGATTGTTTTGAGATTAAGTAATAAGCTGTATTTGTTCACTAGGAAAGATGCGGCTTTGAGTCATGACCTGAATCATATTTGTCACACATTTCATGAACTGAATCATGAGCCAATCATTCCTAGCAATGTTGCATCAGTGAGTCATATGGCTAAACTTAATTGGCAGCATAAGGATATGCTTTGTATTCTAAGGAAATTAACATACAATTTCAGAGTTAAAATAAACACCATGCAGCGTTAATCACAATGTTTTTTTGCGACAAGTTTGTTGTTCTTCCTGAGCAGCAAACACCATACTGTTGTTCCAAGAATCTCCCAAATCTCAGCTGAGAACTATTTACCTTTACAACCTACATGAGTTATGAGTCAAATGATTCAATGTAAGCATTGCATTTGAACAGTCAATGAAAAATGGAACACAAATGAGTCATAAGCTGAACCAGATCTGAAACTCTGTGAGCCATTCCTCAGCTAACTTAAGAAATTTGAGCCAAACCCACGCTTAATGCAACCCACTACAGCCCAATAACCATATTCCATCAACCGCACTACCCGCAAGACGATATACCCCAAGGCCTGAAGTCCAGGATATGTCAATATCATACTCATCCGGTAGAAAATGCCGTTCTGTAAATTAGGTGCAAGTGTTTCTCCGGGCACGTTTCCTAACCGCTTGCCCGTGCTCCTCACTGACTACCAACCGACCGCGTCCTAGAAGCAACTCGCAATCAAATGAGAATTGGGATGCCAAGGTGGTGGAGATCTTCCACTCCCATAGAACGAAATTAAATTCATAACGTTCACCTCTAAATAGCCTCATTTCCTCTGTTGAGCCTTGGGTTACCGGACTGCGTTCTTTAGTATCTTTCTTGTCTTGGCTTACGGCGTATAGCCTCTTGGGCCCAGACGTCCGTCATCGTTGCGTAGTCGTAGAATTTTGGTAGCGCAGTTGGCAACTAAGCTCGACCGAGGATGAAAGGAATGTTTTGCATTGGTCAGGAATTTTCGTGTAGGACAGTGGTGTAGCAGGGAGGTGCAACGATCGGTGTGAGTTTCTGGAAAACTCGGTGTTAGATGTTCAGATATATAAAATGATTGGTGGACTAAAACAAGAGAACAAAAAGTCCGGATTTTTTTGGCCAGGCTCTCTGTATCGTTTTCTTTTAACCACAGCTTCGCCACATGACAGACATTTCAGGTTAGAGTCATTAGTCAGTCGGTAGTCACAAAATTTACCATTTAAGAAAGCATTTACTAGCTAAGAAATTCACATATCTGCCGTGCCGTTTACTCTAACGCATTCACGCACATTCCTCCGTCTTCTCCATGCTCATTCATACCTCATTCATGTACTCTCTTCTGCTTACGCACACGCCCACGTATCACACATATACACACACATGCTACACATGGCTCCTATACCACCTACTTGCTTCTCACACTTCTCAGGCATTCATTCAGGCATCGTACAAAGATATACCCGTAAGCTTGAATTATACATAAAATAAACAACTCATTTTGAAACAAATAAAACAGGATAAGCAGCACGGCAACAGTCGATGACAGCAAATCAAAAATTGCACATGTCCGGTACGCGAAGGCAGCGCTTCACAATCGTCTCAGTAGATCGCAGCATCGCAAGTATCTCACCACTTCATCATTGATGTTTGGGAATTCATTTCCTATCAGAGACCTCACACAGAATTGTGCTCCGTTCCGGTGACATAATGTTGATGACGATTATTATTATGATCGTTGACATACTGTTACCAACGATCGTCTTTCGTGAGAATATACAGGGCATTCAAGAAGGATGTGATGTACTGTTAGTGGACATTGACCACGATCACATTCAGGCTGGGGGCTTCTGTCCCTCATGTATGAGTGGGTATAACGAGTATGCCCAAGTCTCAGCCGGTACAGCACTATCTCTTCACGTCTGATTGCTCGCTTACAAGAAACCCAGCCTCCCACCTCTTCTTTGATGCGTTTTAAAGTAGCACTAGGGTTGTATTCTTTCCAATATTTGTTGAACAATTCACGAACACTTCGACGTCCTTCAGGGAAAAAATCTTTAGGACCCATTTGAAAATTACACACACACCGTTCAATCTTATAGCCATCTTTGCTCGCGCATCCCCTGTCTTGTTGCCACCTACATTACAATGGCTTGGGGCCCAGACGACGATGACACAGTTCAATAAGCTGATGGACCAGTTGTTTAGTATCTATGCGTGCTAGACTCAGCCAGTTTTAGCACGAATCGGTACTGACCACGGTTCCTCTCTAAGCAAGAATCCGTACTAACTAGGCTCGAGGACGTGTTGGTTGGCGCCAAATATGCCAGAACGCCCTCGCACACAGAAATGGCGCATTAGCAACAAACTAGGGAGATCAGCAAAATCAAGGACCAGCGAAAGTAAAACAGGTCCGGAATCCGGGAAGCCCGGGGAATCCCCTCCCGGGGTTCCCGCAATGATCTGATGTTTGTGGACGGCGGGATCCAGCGGGGAGCCTGTGTGTAGCCAGCGCCCATCGCGGTAGGGAGCCTATCTCTATAAAGGTGAGGCAAGCAACGCACTCTACGTCATGCCCAAAGGCAGGCTTACTAAAGCTGCCATTGTTTTATATTAGAAATACCCGCGTCCGCCCCGCAATCAAATTTAGAACTCCGCGCCCGCCCCACAGGGAAAGTGCCTCGTAAAGCCTGCATGGGCCCGCCAATCTTATTTCTTATGCCAGGTCCACCTGCCCAGTCTCATGGCGTGGAAAGTGTCAAAATATAAAGGTGTAAGAAATCTATAGACATATTGCTTCCTTCTGTTTTGTTTTTGTCATGGCTGACATTCAGAGTCCTGGTGTTGATTCCAGGCACACATTCTCGGTTTTATCACAGCTTGGGGTCACCACATAAAACTACAAATGTACATGAAAATGCTTGAAGTCCAACCAATCTGAGAATGCACAAGATTAGGATTGAATTTACATTTACCTGGGTCCATAGGCAATTTGCTTTTCAGCCCTGCATATCCATATTTGAAGGCATGCCTTTAGTATTGAAAAAGTGGCCTTTCAAAGACTTAAATAAGTAGGTGTTTTGGACTACCCTAGTTGCCAATTTCACATGTATACATTATCATATACACTGAAAAATGGATAGCCTCACACCATGGCAGATGTCATGGAAGGAACATTACAAACATCATCATCCATGACTGATAGACATCATGATAAGAGCACGGTTGATTTAATTTCAAGTATAGACAGTAATGGGTATCTGAATGATGACCAAATATGCTTGCCTGCATGCAGAGACAAGGCTTGGTGTTAAATTACAAAATTGTCTTTTAATCCTGTATTTTACTTAATACCTTTGATGGAAGTATACACAGAATACCAGCCAGTTCCAGTATTGTCATGCCATTGGGCAAAAAGCAAAAAATAAGCATAGTGTGAGTGCACCATAAATAACCTAATGTCTTGCCATGCTTTCCTGGTGGACAGCTGATGATCCACACGGACTAGCAAATAGAAGCTGGTCTGTGTCCGTGCCAAGGCCATCTTGCACGTCCCACATCTGCGAACAGCTGAGGACAGAAGTCATCCTTTGCCAGCATCCCTGCACCAGTGTTATTGATCTGTTCATTTTGATGCGTTTATTTTGAGGGTTTACTGCATTGCTTTGGTGGTTTGGTGATCAGTGTAGTCCTGTGGTTGCAGCAAACACTGTTATGTAAACTTACATGAACTGCAGATAAGGCCTGAGCTGCTCAAAATTGGATTAGGCCTGATTTTTGCTGTTTTTGCTGCTGTTTGCAACATGTTTTGGATTGGTAATGCAGGGCCATGTTTTCAATTAATACCAGTCACTGGTGGCATTTGCTTTGTGAACATTTCCTGAATAGCTGCCTATTTCTAATGTGCCTACAAAACATTGTGTCCACATATGACTTGTGATTTATATGACAACTGGTATGAAAAATCTAGGAGTTCTACAAGATTTGCTTGTGGTGGGCTGAGCAGGGATAGCCACTCAGTTTTAAATGTGTCAACTGTTTTGGTTATTTGCAGTCAGAGCAGGGATAAATGGCTAAACTTGTTTTGTGGTGGGTAGAAAGCCTCTAGCTAGATGCCATCAATTGAATGAGAACATATGCCCATGACAGAATATAATGCTAATGTGGGTTATTTCACAAAGGTTCTTGGTCTTGTTTTTGATATTTCAGCCTCTCATAATGTATAGTTCAGGGAAGTATGCCACTTTTTGTACTTTCTATGTCTTGAGGCATAAGACATGTCTGATTCAATTGCTAAAACCAAGTTTCTTGTAGCCCAGCTGAAAAGCTTATAATTTTGATTTTGAGTAGCTTCTCCCACAGGGAAATTCTCAATGGATTCCCTGCTCACCACTATGATAGTAATGCATTTCAGTTATTTTGCTTTCTCCAACGTGTGCACTCTGCTTTGTTTGAAAAATCCTAATTTGTTGAAACGTAGATTGCTACCTAATGTTAAAAACGAGAATTGTACGTCATTCGTCGTGTTTAAGGCGGAACATATCATACACAATCATAAAACAGGTAGATTCATGTTCCTACCTGCAAACTTTAACAATTACGACATCGAGCTCAATTGCTAAAACCGAGCGCCGCACACACTCGACAACCTCAACCGCCCAGCGCCACTACTACGTTATCGGCGCGTGTTCACAACATGACTGCTCATCAAGAACAATAAAAAATTACGAGGCCAAGGTAACAATATAAATGCAATGAAATTCGTCTCTAATTGCGTGTAGGTACGGTTGTCAAACATCCAGGCCAGAATAAACCAGAACCTAGCCTCAACTAACGCAACCTAACGTAACATAACGTAACCCAAGCTAACCCAACCTACCCTACCCTAACCTAACCTAACCTAACCTAACCTACCCTAACCTAACCTAACCTAACCTAACCTAGCCTAACCCTACCTGACATAACTTAACCCAACCTAACGTAACGTAACGTAACGTAACCTGACTTAACCTAACCTCCCCACCCTATCCCCTTCAATCCAGTGTCCCATTGGCGTCCATGTTCCTTTCATTTCCCATCCAAAGACAACAAATTTGCCCCCATGTCGACCAATCTACAAACAGTACGTAAGACTGCTTGGATACGTAGTAAACATATTTCACTGAATTTTGTTACCTTGGCCCCGTACATTTTTATGGTTCTTGATATGCAGGAACGTTGTAATCACGCGTAGCAATGGCGCCGGGGTCGCGGTTGCTGTGTGTTTGCGGCGTTCGGACGTTTGCTATGGTAGTTATTTAGGTTCCAAGGTAAGAGTTTAGATGACCTGTTTTTCGATTACCTACGATATGTTCTGCCTTAAAAACGACGATTGATGTACGATGCTCTTTTCTGACACTAGGTATCAATCGGTACGATGATCTGTCGCTCTAATCGAAGCGCACTTTAGCTTTCGGGAACAGAGTATCACGTGGTCTATATTATTGGTGGCATACTGGTTCAACCTTCAAACAATGCGCATCTCGGTAACTGGGTAACCGCCCCATACCACCCACTATGCCAATCACAAACGCTTATTTGTACCGACATCATTTACACCAGAAGAGGTGCCACTTATAAGCCCAGTCGCCCACAATGTTTGGGATGAAACATCCCAAGATTGGTGTCACTATACATAATATATGCATACATACATACATATAACCCGTAACAGCTAGGGTGAGAGACAGGCAACGCCATATAACCTCAGCACCTGAGTGCGTCGTAAAGCCCCAATGACTACAACGTTGACGACGACGCGGCGGCGGCTGTCGCGACGACGTCGGAAGCGGTTGCCAAGACGACGGCGGTCGCGACAGCTGCAGTTGCGGCGAACTGATACGCTTTGGGGCTACAAAGAAGGAAAGAAATATAGTTGTGTTACAAACCGTTGACAGCGTAATTTGGACTCGAAAGTCATTAAGTTGTATCCACTTTTCAAATCTTGATCGTGCTGTAGTGGCACTACCCAGCGCTATGATTGGACGTGAATGTCCCGGACCTTCCGCCGGAGTATGCTTTTTGTTAGACACTTCAAAGGTGGTGTAATCCCACTGAGGCACATGTTCCACATTTCTATGGAGGTTTTGAACTGAAATAGACAGTTTCAAGATCATACAGTGCGGTTCACAGATGTGCCCTTCACACGCCCCCGAAGATGTGCAGACTATTCCGTACTGACTATTTCGAGGTCATTCAAGCATGCATGGCAACAAAGGAAAGTCGGAATCCTACCACCCTAAAAGTTATGCGACGTTCAAGGCCAGGAAAGATATTATTGCTGAGCTGTTGAAACCTGTTTTCCGGAGGCGCGATATCCAAATAAAGTGGACTTCATCCTGCTCTCAATCAAGGTTCAGCAAGCTGTGCAGGTTTCAATTACGATTTACGTTTTGTGCTACTTAGCACTACAGTGCTACAAGTGAGTGCTAGGGCATCAATGTCGCGCGCCTAGTTTGGCAGCTCCTCAATGTCATACAAACGTTTTATGACGCAGTCAAAGAATGACTACTAAGTAGCACATGTACTAAAAAAAAGAAAACTTGTGTTCTTTAGAGCAGCCTTTTCCACGTAAAGGGACTGTTCGACAGTTGACGCTTTTGGAGTACGCATCAGTTATAGTGAAATATGTTCACTGATAACTATGGGTATACTTTTAAGTGGTAACACTACTCCAGACAACGCGAACATCTTTTTGATAAACATGTTTTTGATAAACATGCTAAATTTTTGAGTTGTTTTAGCCCCCGCGCGTTTAGCCCGCTTTTAAGCGCACAAGGTACACTTCGATATCTCTGAAACAAGTTTTCCAGATTTCGTAGCATTTGTTCCAGAGGTATTCTGACAAATTAGTGCGTTATAAACACCACCGAACATTCCCTGGAAGAAACGAGGCAAATTACATGTATTGCTTTCTTATTGGTGAGCAGGGAATCCAATGAGACTTCTCCCACGGGAGCGACTTCTTCAAATCGAAATTCTGAGATATTAAGACGGATTTCGAGAAAACTGGCATAACCGATCAAGTCAGACGTGTTTGATCTAACAATACGTGACAGGTACAAAAAGGAAGCATACTCCTACTAAGCTATGCTAGGCTTTCCTTGAACCTACAACATGCCATCGCTGATGTTAATGGAATAACAACCAGTACCTGGCTTGAAAACTTGGTAATGAAATGTAGCTTTTTTATTTCATCACTTTTTGAAAATTTCATGGCCCTCACTAAGCACTCACGTTGTGCGCCTGCTAGCTTAAAAGTAGCAGCACTTATGCCTACAATTTTTTCAGTCCTGATATGAACCTGCACATTTTTTTTTGTGTGCGTGGGCCGGTCTGAAAACCGTGGCAGATTTCAGGGAGATCTGGTTGGGCAAAGGTAAGGCACAATGTCACTCCTGTCTGAAAACTGCAAAAATCGGATGCCGTCATCCCGCTCATCTGTCTTGGTTGGAATTACAGTCTGGTAGGAATGAGGGCTTGGCAGAAATATTGCTGGGTACAAAGCGGACGGCGAGCATTAGCTCGCACACTTTGTGTATGCTCGCCCCTGTTAAATATGCTTCGTTGCACCGAGTGAGAGGTCATTACTTGTAATTAAGACCAGGATAACAGAAATAAATGTGCCAATTATGTTCCTCCTCCTAATAAAAAGGGCAGATGGGCCACTGAGCTGGTACGCAGGGCAGAAGGGAACATGGGCATGGGGAGGGATTCGCGTCAACCCCACCCCGCCTATCAATCCGCGTTATGAAAAATGGTGAATGACGGCGAGGGTGAATGCATGCCATAATGCATCCGGCCGGCACGTCCACCGGAGTTGCGGCATTTCAGATTAGCCCTGGCTGCTATTGGCCGGCATTTAAACATTGTCTGTGTTAGGCATTGGATGGTCGCGCATGCCGCTGTTTGTCCTCGGCCTGCTTTTAGTGGCGCTGAGTTCAGTGCCTCTTCACTTAAAGTCGTTGCGCAGGGTGCGTGGGGTCGAAGTCCGATCAGTGCGGCTGGTCATTTTAAACGTGCTGGGCACCAGCTTTGGCACATGTGCTCAGAATGGTGGGTAAGTGACAGACGATTATTGGGTTGTTAACGTCATGTTAACTCGTTTCCAATGACGTCTTCGACCAAAACCGGTCATTTCCTGGCGTGGATTTGCGGTTCAGCCCCTTTCCTACGTCCACCGACTTCTCACTCCCACACGCTCAGAAACCATCTCTTCTCCTTCTCCTTCGGCTTCTGGGTGATCGCGATCCGGCCGGCCGCTCGGCCGCGCAGCGATGTTGCTGCAGTCCTCCAACCAGTCCCCGCCAAAAAGGAGCTTAGGTCATTTGGCGACACCGCGGAAACGTGCCGTGTGTCCGCGCTGGGCGACACATGTCACCGCGTGCCTACCGTACTCGAGCGGCCAACCGGCTCTCGCTCAAACCGACGGAGCTGGACCGCGTCTCGGTTAGGTTCCTGTTTCCGGATTTGGGGCCCCTTTTATGCTGGGTGTTCTATTTTCGTGCCTTGAGTGTCAGTTTGTGTGTTCTAGAAGCCTTACGGGCGTCTTTAACTGACACGAAGTACTAAAGCCTTCGGGCCCAGTTGCGTCCTCACCACCTTGGGGCTCACCACACCTACCACCAGCAAGAGTCCCCATCTCCCCTTGGCTACGCCACCACTGTTGAGCTTATCATGTCAGCTTATAAGGATAGCCTAAGAGTGCACGACTCGTTGGTACGCCAATGGCCATTGCAAGCAGTGTCTATCAAACATGGTGACCCATGGTGTTTTTTTTTTACGTCGGGCGGGCACTAGGCCATGGTTGCAATTGCAATCCGTTTCAGAGCACGTTCTCGTGTTCTGTTGGCAAAGTTGTGTCCACGTCCAGAAAGAGTCTGCAACTCCGTGCTTCCACGCCGGCTAAGTCAGCTGACCTGTAGGCTGGCCAGATTTTAAATCGGGCACCGTTGTAAACCACGCTTTGCCACCACTCTTTGACGCCAGGCTCCACCTACGCCATATTGTGTGACCCCTTTTAGGTCGGGCAGCGACGGGTTACCTGCCACCACCATTTGCAGAACGAAAGAGCACTATAAAGTTGTATACCGCCTGGCTTTTAACCAAAATCCTTGTATCTTATTACAGCTAGGCACAGGGAAATATGTAAACCCAAGTATATTTGTAGGAGTGGGAAGCAGGGTGGCTGAACATTGAACGGTGACACAACCTATTTCCCAAAATACACGAATAGACGTGTTAGTGAACAGGCTTCGGCTACATATTTCTGAAAGTTGCAGGAGACGAGTCCAAGTTAAGGGGGACTCCAGCAAACAACTGGAAAAGGCGTATGTGGTTATGCCTTGAAAAGTAAAATATTTGGCCCACATTTTTAAGGTTGTAGGTACTGGGCTCAAGTAAGCGGGGAGCCCAGAAAATTGAATAGGAAACTACGTCCATGATTCTGTCTTAGAAAGGAGACCACTGTAGGTTCACGCGTTTGAATGTCAGCGTACGTTCAAGGTTTCATACTTAAGCGGCCCTATTCTTTTTCAATAAGCTGCCATTGTATTGCACTGCCCTGCATATTTACCAGATACGCTTCCCTCTGAACCAGCTGACTGAGAAGGTCGATCGGATGTTTGCAGATTTTACGCAGAAGTCGCAATTTCTGACGTGGGGTAGTTTATCAAATTTTGTGGAAGAAATTACTGCATTGGAGTGTTGAGGGATCATGTATTTTATGATATACAAAGTAGGAAAGATCACAGAAAATGTCCAATCCTGATGGTAAGTCATGTTTTGGGGGTAAGTTAGAACAACAAAATTGTCTCCAAATCGGGCAGTTTACCACCCCATTTCCAGCAGGATTTGTCTGCCCAAACATCTTTTCATATTTGTCATGGTGTGCAAAATGGTGCATAGGTAAAGGAACTTGACGTTGGGGAGTCATGGCCCTCCAATGTCGGACCACCCTTCTCTTCCCCCCCCCCCCCAAAAAAAGCAACACCAGCGCGAAAGGAATTGGAGAATGTTTAGGATTTCTTCCTCCCCCGCCTCTCCTCCTCTGCCTAGGCGTTAGGTGCATACTTAGCAAAAAAAGTCCCCAAGATTTTCTTCAGTGGTAAATACCCTAATACCCTGTTGGAAATGGTCCTACTTCTGCGTGGGTGTCCATACCTTACGTTACCTAGTACCGGATTGAAAAGTTTAACTGGCTTGTTGGAAAGGCTCCTTTCGAACTCCTGGATGGTTGACCTACATCGATCTGGTCTGGAGTGCCTTGCATAAGTGGCATTTGCTTTGCTTAACTCAGTGCTAGTCTAGTCTGGATATGTATTGGTTTAGTGTCAGAGCAACCGCTCTGCGGAAGAACGTTCTAGTTGTTGACAACGCTCACGCCGGAGGCATTCCCTCTGGCTGGCATTGACCCTTGAGGCTTGTTTACCTTTCAGGTGTGACCCCTCGTGGAAGTCGTTGCCGCTGGCGAGAGGAACTCGTTTGGATCGAGATTAATTCGGGAGTGTGGCACCTGGTAAACAGTACCATGTCATCCCCACACCTGCAATGACGTAGGGATGGATGGCCGCTGATACGGAGGCTATCTGGGTACGGTCTAGCCCTGATGTTTCGCACGATTCTGGTTACGCGCATCTGTAATGTTCCCAGCTTCTGGTTGGTACGCTTCAATGGACTCTAAATGATGCTGGCGTACTCCAGGCGGAGCCGCGCTAGGGCTTAAAACAGGAGAGACAGAGCCGTTAATCAAGCAGCTTAGCAGATCTGCGACTGGTCGCAAGAATCCGGCGCACCTTATATGTCGGTGCTGCTGACTGTTTGCGGAACTTCAGATTTGCATCCAAGAACAACCCAAGTCTTTTTCATTGGAGACCCGCTCCAGCCAGGTTCCCATCATAGTGTAAAACGACGTTCGCTTTGCCCGACCAAAGTGCTGTGACTTTCAGTCACCTTCGTTGAACGGCACTTGTCAGGCCACGGACCAGGCTGCCACGGCGTCATGGACTCGCTGCGTCATTTCGTGTCAGTGCCATTCGCAAGAGCTGTATGAATTCAGGGCAGATCGTTAGCAAACTGCACGAGTAGCAGGGGCCCAAAACCGAACCCTGTGGAACGCCGCCGCTGGTGACGGACGTCTAGCTGAACTAACATCCGTTAACTGACGCCGTGCTCTGCCTGTCAGTTCGGCAAACCTCAATCCGTTGTAGAAGTCGGTCTCCGGCCCCCTGAGACATTATCTTGTTCTGGAACCCCTTGTGCGGCGCCGAGTCAAAGGCATTGCTGAAATCGATGTACATTGCATTTACTGGATCATCGGCTTTGGTTGTCCCACCCCAATCTTCAATGATCGTGAAACCGTGCCGGGCGTTATGTATTTGGTCAGTGGAGAGCAAGTGCTGCATAAGGTGATCACGGACCATCGCCTGAAGTACATGACATGGAACCGATGCCAAACTCACTGGCTGGCGGTCTGATAAGCGCTGCTTGCCCCCTTTGTTAAAGATCAGAGTAACGTCGCCCTTCTTCCACCCGGAGAGAGGCTTCCTGAATGTATGGATTTTCGAAACAGTGGTTAATGGTCCTGACAGGAACGACGCCGTTGCGCGAAGGATTCGTGGGTTTCAATCGTACTTCAATCTGTGCTATACATTATGTTCGTGAGGGCATGTTCTTGTGTACGTTGAAGTATACATCGTTTGGTGAATAAATGATGATATGATAATAGTGTCTTATGCCTTTCAATATTATTTCCAACTAGAATACTAATCTATGCATCTGGTCTGATCTATGAAGTCTAATCTATGAAGTCACTGTATACAATGCTACAAACATGGCCCAGAATGTTGATGTTCTCAATCAGGTGTTTAAGCCCTAATCCTCCAAGTTGCACAGAAACTGCTGACCAAGTTTTTTCTCTAACGCACAAGACCATGTGCGCTAAAATTGGTTTTATTTAGTTTTTGAAATTACTTATTGCTAGGCCGATTGTGATCTCACATGCCTGTCTTTTTCTTTTGTTCGCGAGCAAGTATGTTTAAGTATGCAAGTATGCTTTTCTCTTTAACGCACGAGACCATGTGCGTTGAAGTTTTTGTCATCTAGTTTTTCATGTTACTTATTGCTAGGCCGATTGTGATCTCACATGCCTGTCTTTTTCTGTTCAGGAGCGACTATGTCCGGATTCTCCATGAAAAACAAGGCGGAAGGAAGAACATTCCCTGAGGATGTTCTGTATCAAAACCTGGATAAATGTACTTGCTTTAAGTTCATAGCCTTCAAGCATATCCAGATGCCCTTCAGACACACGGGTTTTCTGTTGTTCTTCGACAACGTGCCTCTGTTCACAATCAATGTGCGAACGGGTGAGTTAGACCAATGCGCTCAGTTTATCAAGTGATGATAATTGGTTAGTTGTAGTCACCATCATGCCCCTGTTGATTGTTTTCAGGGTCACTGTGTTGAATTGGTAGACATTGGTATACGGTAACTTCCTCTGCACGGCACGACGCATCAAACCCAAATAACGTGGAAGATGAGATGTGGCCTGCATTATTGTATACTAGACAATTTTGGCGCGTCCGAGGCGTCCAGGCGTCCAGGCGTCAGAGAGGCGTCCCAGGATTTCAACGAGAAGTACTGATGGCAAATATGGGTTACTGGGGGCTTCGGTCGAAGGGGAAAAATTTCTGACTGGGGCCTTCGGTCCTCGGAGGCAGGGGGGTAATCCATGGGACCACCTCCATGGGGGGGGGGGAGGGGGGTGATGGCTCGAAGCTCCCCTCGGCTATGTCGCTGACTTGGCATGAATGCTCATCGTGGCACTATGTACGGCTGTTGCATGTGATTATTCGCATCGCCTCGATTCGTGCTCCATACACGCCCCAACTGGGAAACGCGTACGAGCAGGTTTGTGATCGGCGATGGTGAAACACTCGTCCGGCGTTTTCAGCCAAGACCACCGGGTGGGACTACCTGCAGAGCCTGGTGGTGACACCGGGCCGAGTTACCGTGGAGTCGGCGGAGGACCTGGGTCAAGTCCAATACGTAGGTCGGCCGGTGGTGCACATCATCGGGCTCTCGACGGACCAGGCGTGCCAGCGTGAGGCCGCGCGCAGGGATATTGCCGCGCTCCTGACGCCCCAACGGTAAGCAGACAGCTGTGGGATCGCGACAGGGGTTTGCAGGTGAGCGGTGGCCGCCTTCGCCACCATCACCCCATTGTCAATGTCGGATACCATGAGCAGGGACGACTCACTCAGTTGAAGATTTTGAGTGTGCCAAAAATTCAAATTTCTGAGGGTGAGCAAGACGTTCTGGCCCCAACAAATATGTATTTTAAAACCAACAGGCTCCCAGCAACTGAAATCTTGTTATTTTGTCCCCTGACTGAAATAAGCAATTTTTCAGAATTGATTTGTTGGAGCTTCAGCAGTACTTTTGGACATTTTGTGGTAATTCTCTTTATGTATTGGTACGAGCCCAATGTGAAGTTTTTTTTTGTGCTCAGCTTGTAATGCATTCGGCGTTTGCCCAATTATGTATCTAACATTTAACCGATAGCTAAATAGTGGAAGCAGGTGTCCGTTTGAGATGCAAGCTTCAAGTATTCCTGTTCCAAGTGATGATTCAGATCATGATCCACGGTTGGTAATCAAAATATATGAAAAGTCGTCCACTTTGCAACACCCATGGGCTGCAGCGTGGCTGCCTTTTTGCAGCATGCTGGCACGCCTCTTTCAACACAGCATGCTCGGCGTTGGCGTCACTCGGTTTTCTGTGCTGGCCTTCTTATTCTTGCTTATCCGTGCTTATCCTTGCTGTATACTTCATTCGGCGATAGGTTTTCTCCCCGCGCTCTAATAGTTATGACAGCGTATGGCCTCAGCAAGGGCCGAAGGTTGGTGAGAAGTGAGCGCGCAACAGTGGTACTTTCATTGGGATATCGATTAATTTCGTATTGTCTCGATTGCACTCAAGCGCAAACTGGACACTATGAAGTGTTTGAATATTCGTCAGCTGTCTTTTGCTTGTCTGCCAGTTTGTCAGATGGAGTTGACAGGATGTTTTTTGAGATCAGGATGTTTCTCTCTGTCAGTAAAGATATGCTTTCAAAACGTCTTTGGCAGGCTCAATCTCATGAAATTATAGCAGGTTCAGGTGTGACAGCATTATGACATGCTTTTGGTGTGACAGAATTAACACACGCTCGGGTGGGGGTCACTTTGAACTCCCCAAGTTTTTCCGAAATGATTTCAGAACGGAATGACATAGCCACGCCAAACTTCGTATAGCTGTAGGCAATTAGTCGTGGATCTTTTGGCGTAACAAGTTAGATGAACCTTGTAAGGCCGCTGACGTATGGCAGATTAGTCAGCCCGTGGCTATCAGTGAAGGCCATTTCTAGGGAAACGTTCGACCTGGTGCGACAACGGGATGTTGGACGAAGCCAGGCGTATCTGCGATAGTTCCTTATATATATATATATATATATATATATATATATATATATATATATATATGCTTCCGGGAACAGGTACCTAGGTTCACAGCGGTTGCGTGAGGAGGTCTGGGAGCTTTTTGTATACCAAGCTCGAGTTTAACATCGTTTGACCTTTTTGACTCTAAAGTCATGACCTGTGTGGCCTTTTTGACTGAGAAGTCATGACCTACGAGCCGTAAAGTTTGTCACATGTTAGCTCACATACCGGCTCATCCATTTTGTCAATTTGGTTTCTCCAGCTCTCCTATTTTTTTTTTAGATCTCAGGGGGTCAAATCGGCCCCTCCCCCAATCGGGCGAAGGGCGTCCAACCGGCCACCCAGGCGCGTGTTAAGGTTCTAACTAGTTTTGCAATGCAAACACGAATGACTCCTCATCGATCAGTGTTTGGTTAACTAGTGTAATAAAAGCCATGGGCCAGATTTTGTCTTTGATACAACACACTTGTGTAGGTACCTAATGTGCAGTGCTGATCGGAATGAGCACGTGAAAACGGTGCTGTGTTCGATGACGACCGCGTTTCGTAGTGTGTTTGGTGCTGCCTCCCCGATTTGCACGTGGATGCACGTCTCTGTCAGACCACGGGCTGCACGTGCTCAGTCTGGCGTCTACTGGCAGGTGGTACTCGCTGTTCTGGAAGAACTGTCGGGACCACGTGAGGAGCGTGATGAGCCGTCTGGAGGACCACCATCCGGGAATGGGCGCCGCCGCGCGCCGGGAGCTCCAGCAGGTCAGCAGTGTCTGAGCTCGGCGGTGCCACCCCCTGGCACGTAGCCATGCTCTTGCAAGGCACCCGCCAACCCATCCAGTGTGCGTCCGCAGGGCGCGGGCCCTCGGGACTCAGTACGTTGAACCCCTGAGATCTACCCACTATGCTACTCAGTGTGCGTTAAATACATTATAACTGAATCCTGGACACCACGAAGACACCATGCGTGGGTGCTCGTCTGGCGATCAGAGGATCCTGACAAGGGGCTTTTGGCGTGCAAAACTTTCACACATTGCGGTTGGTGCAGCCCTCCAAGCGGGGAAGCAAGATACTTAAAGGAGGGAGGGGGGGGGGGGGACAGGGGAGTATACGTCCCATTGGCGACGTCCCTGGATGGTTTGTCCTACTGGCGGCTGTTCCGGTGCCAGAAACAATGGATACGAAGAAGGGCTACATTACTGTTGATGCGTAAAACAGTCACAAATAATGTCATCCATCCATGCCAACTCCACCTTCCCCACCTCACTTAAAGGGAATGTTTCACATTCGAAGATATTGAGGTAGGCATCAAATATGATCAGAAAAGCTTACTTGTAACTATTGGTAAGCTTTCAAAGTTCAAAAACGACCCTAAGTAGCAAAATTTCAAAATTTGAAAAATGCGCCCAATTACGTCATTATTTGATGGCGCCATGGAATGGTTTTGTGACGACGGCAATACCTGGCAGCATCTGGCAGCCAGACCTAAAGAATGCCTCGAAACACAGGAAAGCTGACGCCAACCGGCCATTCTCGTCGCGGGGACTGTGTCAGATGGGGGATTAATGTTTGGTTTGTTTATGAATTTTTTGTCTTGGTGCTGTCCGTAAGAAAAGGTTTGGTGGAAAGTTTGACATACGCAACGTAGCGATCGCCAACTTTTATGGCAGATTATTAATATCAAAGCACGATGTGCTGTGCTGCTGCTGTTGTTGCTATGCTGTTGATGATGATTTTGTCAATACTGTATTGTCGACCCATCCTTGCCTGCAGTGCTGTAATCCGGACATTAATGTCATGTGATGTGCACTGCAGTTACTTTCGTTATTGTTTGTAACTGAGATGTGGTGTCATGCAGAAATTAATAAATGTGTAACGCTGCTGTGAATTAATTGTTAAAACATTACTACTGCTATGGTAAAGATGGTAAGGTTGGGCTACCAAAAACGTTTTTCTTGCTTACGATTATTTATGCAATTAACAGTTAACCCTGATGCAGCCATTGTGGTGCAACGACGTTCTTGCTGTTGATAGTCCTTTGGCATTGTTAAATCAGTTGTTACCAGTCATTCGTACATTATAAGCTGCTGTCTCATAGGCTTGACCTAGAGTAGCCAGCCGATGTGGTACATTGTGTAATGGCACGAGTCAACAGCGTCATTGTGGCACTTTCTCAGTGCTGTGCTGGAGCATGACATAATGAACAACGATATGGTTTTTGTACTGCAATCCATGCTGCTTTCATAATAAATTCCGTCATGAAAGATGGGTCAAGCATGCGCTCTTGTATTGACTCCCCATCTGACAAACGACTGACCAAAAGCACATGATACAATATACAAATCACTTTCAGCAAAGCAGACAACCAATAAGTGGCATCACTTGCTCAGCCTGTTTTGGGAATCCACAAAACGTGGGTGAGAAAGATGCAAACACATCTTCCACTTCCGCAGTCATGCAACATTCTGCAACCATCAGGCTGCTCTACTTAAAAATAAGAGGAATTTTTTCACGTGGTGAAATGACGTTCCAAACATGCTGACCTTGCACAAGGCTGGGGACATGACAAGTGCATGTAGTTATGGTTGGATGGGCAAAATGCAAGGAAGTGATGAGGCTGCCAGTGCACACAAGGCTCATGATAAAAATATTATTAAGTGCTATCCAAGACGCCAGCAACCATACTTTTCCACCTTTCTCAGCACCCAGCATCTCACGCGAGTCGCAGTGACTATGACATAGATGACTCACAAGCAGTGCTCGCCCGCATACAAAATTTGTTAAGACATAATATGTGCATCCATAATAATACAGCTCTATATTTTCAGAATTCTTAAGTGAAAGACAATTTTGCCAAGCTGTGTCATGCGAGCTTATGCCGAGCACGTACATTAATGAGCCGTACTGACCCATCCCACGGCCAAAATTAATGTATGATATAATGGCATGCAATGGATTAATTAAGTGCTGTAACACCTCAATAGCCTCCAAATGGTCGTAAGATCATGACGAAGTAGCGAATTGCCTTTGAACACCCCTGCAGCATGGGTGCTGGTAGTACTCTTAGTTTGCGGGCACTCCTTTTTCATGTTCAAACACAAACATAAAGGTAGAGGCAGGTATCGATATGTCACATTTGATTGGGAGTCAGTAGACATAAAGAATACCAAAACGATATTCTCTCAGAGGTACAAACCCCGCACGCACACTCCCCATCACATCAAGATCAATGGGAGCCACTGGCGCACACCACCAGTGATCACACGCATTTCAAGTCCCCGATCTTTTGTCAAATAAGTGTGATCTCACACTTGCACAGCTCGCGGGACTATCATATTGCAGGTTTTTCGCAGTTAACGCACAAATTTTTGGTCAAAACACCGCATTTCACCATGACCCCTCAAAACAAAGCTCCAATTTGGGTTCATGGTAATGCGGCTCAAGAGATTGGACTTGTAGAACACAATTTTTGTTCAATATTTAAATTTTCGGTACAGTGTGTGTGAATTATTTAGTGAAATATATGTCGCCATTAAATTGCAGGTTTTCTCGCAATTTCCGCACATATTTTCGGGTATAACACCGCATTTCACCGTGACCTCGCTTCAACACAAAGTTCCAATGGGGTTCATGGTAATGCGGCTCAAGAGATTGTACTTGAGGAAGAAAAAAAATTGTTAATGATTTGAATTTGTGGTATGACGTGTGAAATGTTTGGGATGTATATATATATATATATATATATATATATATATATATATATATATATAGAAAATTACCGTCATGTTCCCTAATTTTATAATGCCTTGCTAACCCATAAACCCGTGCAGGGTTCTGTGCTCCGGTATACAAGGCGCCAACACAGGCGCCAACCGAGCTGTGTATAAGAAATACGTCACTAGAAGAAGAAAAAAACGCCAGCAGGGGAAAACGACAGATTTGCCGTCGCAAATTGTTGTAACTTTCGGGACAGTGTCCGTTTTTTGTGTGTAGTACTTTTTTTTGCATACAGTGGCGTTCTTTTTTGTAACATTGACCTATGGCCTAGAAATAAGGAAAAATGCCCCGTTCACGAGTGCCGCACAATTCGAAAAATGTGACGCTTACGTTCGCGACACGCATTCAGTAGCGAAATCTTGGTAACAGCCAATCATCTTTCGCGCATTGTGTCATACGTGCCGCATCATCGCTTTTCCGAATGTATCAGCGACCGTGCTGTTTTGACCATAAGCGGAAAACAGCCCGTAGTACGACCGCGATCGCATAACGTTTCTGTGACGTCATTAATGCCAAGGCAACTTTGAAATAGGCTTCCATAACACTTTTCGCACTTTTGCGGGCGTGTAACTCAGGAACTAGAGCCTTTTGGGTCTAAAAAGGACATGACCGTGAACTGCATCAAAAGGTCCTCAAGATGGCTATTTCAGTTCAAAACGCCATACAAATGTGGAGCATTCTCTTGAATTGCTCATCCGGAAAAAATTACGTCTGTGTTATTACTTATTCCCAGAAAGAGTTCTAAGCCCCGATATTGCATAATCTCAATCAGGTTCACACACGCGCGCCCTTCAGCCCCATGACACTCACCTAGAAGCCATCGCTCATAGTGAGATGTGGCATTAGTTTTGATGGACAAACAAAAATAGCACCGGTTTATAGGACTTAAGCCACGCCTAACTTTCGAACTTATGTTATAAAGTTACTTAAGGTTCGTAAACAATCAGGAATAGGTTTTGAAATCAAAAGTCCGTTTTGCCGTACGTCAAGTTTTCATTGTCGACAGTGGGCCGTCAAAAGTATTGGAACGTTTTGGTGAAGAACCCGCCGAGATTTGTTTCACTAGTTTTTGGGTGCCCGAAGGGTAGCACTGCCACTGCCGCGTACAAGCTAGGTGGGTGCTCGGGGTCGGTTTGTCGTTTTTTACGGGTAGACAGCCTCACACTGTCTGCCGGACCAGCGCCGGTCAGCGGAAGGCGAAGTCACTCCTTGTGCAGCGGATCGCCGCGGCTTCCTCACACACGCCACTGACATGCTTCCCTGGTATTGCAGGTCCATGCGGAGGACATCGGCCTGATATCCGTCATTATCGCGTTGATCGCCATACCCATGGCCATCGTCCTCAGGAAGTAGGCCAACTGTCTGCCAACTGGAAGAAAGTCGTCGCCGAAGAGAAAGAAAGGCTTGACCAGAGCCAGGCCGAGCCTCGTCCCGCTCCGTCCGGCGACTGCCGCATGGAGGTCGAGCAGAGTTTTCCTGGTTCCTCGTCGGGCATACGAACGAGTTCTGACGACTGCGAGAGCTCGATGGACTTTGAGAGACGCAGGTTTACTAGTCTAGTAAGCTGTGCGCAACCGGGCGCGTTGCTTTGTTGATGCTTCTTCACTCTCGTTGAGCATGTAGGGCTTTTCATGCTATGCATAGGGCACAGGGATATGCACCGCTTTGAGGCACAGAGGTATGCACCGCATAGCCCTATTGCATAAGGCTATGCACCGCTTTGTGACGAATCTCCGTTTGTTCGTCAAATTTGATGTTTGTCGTGACTGAAATTATTTTTGTGAGGATTTTTTAAATGCATATCATGCATGTGAGGATATTTTTGTCACCTCAGGTATTTTTCCCGTAGGATTGTGAAGAATGTTAACCTGCTGATTCGTAGCAAGGCTCAATGAATGTAAGTATTGTCGTCTAGGGTGTGGTTGTAGACTTCTGAATTATCGTCCGATGGTCTTGGCTACGGTTTACCCATGAACTGAGGTTTGCATTGTTCATCGGACGAGCTCCCCGATCTGTTCTGCTTTAACTGGCTTTCGAAAACAACATTCTCTGGACCATCTGAAGTGTGTGTTTCACTACGCCTTTTACCGCATACACCGCAAGAAGGCAAATAAACCTGCTGCTTCGTGCGCCTGTAAAATGAAGTGTTTCAGTTTCGCCATGGGCTGCTGATGTTAAGTCGGAGTCGCGCCCACGGCAGCAAACCAGGGCAGCTGCAGCTACAACGCCTGATCAGCAAAAATATAGCTCCCACCGAAAATAGTCCAAAAGCCGCAGAGTCTATGCTTGGGAAAATACCTCGCATGAAATTAAGGGCGCGCGCGGAACTAAATGACTTGAAATCGACTTTGTCCCCTGTACTAACTCTAGACACGGAGTGCTCCCACTCAACCAATGAAGTCAATTGAATTTGACATTCTGACATTTTTAAGAACCAGTGCTCTAAGGATAGACCAAAGACTGAGCAGGTCCAGGACGCAGTTCGACCATATGATCTTTATGTTAAGGCATCATTCTTCGGAAGAGCATGGTTCGATGCACCGCTATCTCTACAGGCTGAACATCCCGTCCAGTTCTCCCACTGATGGTGAACTTATATTTACCAACGGTTGCACAGCACCCCCATCAGACACGTGCTTAGTTCCCAAGATTTCTTTCTGGAAACCGGTTCCTGGTTCCGGAACCAAGAAGAACTCGGAAACGGTCTGGTATTACGCCGAGTGATCAACAGGAACCAAGATCCAGCGTCATATTAAGCCGACGGCTCCGGCAAGAGCAAGGATCCAGCCTTATGTTAAGTGGAATGATCCAACAAGAACCAAGATCTAGTCTGATACCAAACCAAGAGAACCAGCCATAATCAAGGTACAGCCTGGCATTAATTAAAAGATGGACCAGGAATCAAGATCCAGTCAACATTGTGCCAAGAGATTGAGCAAGAACCAAGGTACAGCTCAGGATTTAGCTGAAATTCAGCAATGACCAGTCTGTCGTCTGGAGTGACGCCAATGCAAGCAGCAAGGACTAGAAAAGCACCTGGGACTTCTGCCGGGCTTGATTTTAGAGGCTCAGCTAGGTGTTACTCGGGCACAATTTTGTGAATTAACGTGATGGCTGATCGGGCGAAAAAGGCTAAATCTGTTCTCACTTTTTATCTTGTACCTAGGAAGACCGAAGATGATCCATCAATTTGAAACTGCATTCTTGGTGTTCCTTAGAGGGGGTGTCCCACATTTATGGTGCTTTTCAATTATTTTATATCGGACGCTTACGATTTGATCAGCAGTAACACCTTTCTTGAAGTTCTGAATAGCTCTGAATTTTAATTTGAAGTAGGCGACCCTGCAGGAGAGCCCTTGTTTGACTTATTGCTCACCACTATGAAAGCGATGTATTACGTGGGCGTCGTTTCTTCCCATGTTTGTTCTGTAGTGTTTAGAGCGCACTGATTTGTCAAAATTCTGTAATAAATGCTTTGCAAGCTCTAAACGTTCTGTTTAGTCAAAAAGATACGCGAACATCAAGCTATTATCCCTCGAATTCAACGAAACGTTACGCTAAGCCTTCGATTTCTCCCCTTAGGGTGCTTACCACGGTGGCTCTTTTCCAGGCGCGCTTTGGCCTTGGGAATGGGAGCATTATTCGATCAATATGACGCACTGGCTCAAACTTCAACCAACCAACTTCTCGGTAACAGGCGAATGCTCGCTGGGCCAAATGCAAACGTTCTTTTATTCGTACTAGTGAAGGCGCGCACGGTGGTTGTGATGGCGGCGGTGGTCGCGACTGCAGGAAAAAGTGCAGCGCTGTTATAAAGCGTTGATAGCGTAATCTGGACTGGAAAATATTGAAGACATATCCTTATTATGCCTTATCGGTGATGCAGTGGCATTACCCAGTGCTATTATACACAACTGATTCTGAGATTAGACTAGAGTATGTTTTTGAAATGCATCCCAAAGGTAGGATACTATAAAGTCGATATAAATGAATAGAAACAATACACATAAACCTCTTCAGAAAGTTTCGTAGCTTTCAATCGTTTTATGCGACCCTGTCGCAATGAGTCTTGCAAACATGTGCCACACTTGATAGAATAGAACATGACGAAAGGGTTTACGTGAATTTGACGGTTTAGTTCTCTGCATGCATGCAGTCTTGTATACATGGCCCAAACAGTCTTTTTTGACACTTGCAATATAAGCTTTCCTCCATGGCTGGTTAGTGGAATGTCTCCAGACATAGAAACTGCTGCTCCACCACAATACCCCAGATTCACTGAAGTAGCTATTCATTGTCATGGAAGCTTCTTTCCAATCCATGAAGCCATCGGCAGTCACAAACAAAGGTGACTGAAAGCTTTCATGACAACATCTTATTGACAAGACCATAGAGCATGTGTCATGGCACATAAAATAACGGCGGTGTCTGAACCAGCTTGAACCGATCTATTCCGCCATCCGTTTGATTAATGTCCGTTTTGGCTGAGATAATTGATGTAGTGTAGCACCGAACTGAGTCAGCAAATAAGCTCCGCTAGATGAATTTGGTCAACTGGCTTTTTAAATAACTTTTGGAAACAACTAGTCTGGCTTATATTCATGAAAAACGGAATTACCGGAACCCGTCAACACCGAACCAAGAAAAAAGATCTGCAGGGAAACGCCTTAATCCCTGTTTTACATTTCCTCAGAGGCCGTGAGCGTTCGTAGATACTGGGTGCAGGGCCGATTTTAAAGTGCGCGAAAAGGAGTAAAAATAGAAACACCACACATTGTTTTTCGTGAGGCCTATCGCAGAAGACAGCGAACTTTCCTCAGGAAGCGCGTTTGTTTCGTCATTAATTTAGCGTCATGAGATCAAATCTTGAAGTGCGGCCAACGTGAGACGACGAAAGGATGCATGCCGATGAAGAAAAACGCCTCCGGTGTGAAAAATTACGGCCATGCTGACAGCAGTGATAACATGATGCTAACGCTTCTAATCCCATGTCTCAAGCGTCTTACATTCGGTGCGAAGTGATGTCCGTCGAGTTATGCCTGCATGAAGGGGGCTGCTGTGTCGAGGTGCCGGCGCACAGCCCCACGTACCACGTACATCTTTCAGCAACACCCGGGCTCGTCCGGGATTTGAACCCGGGACCTATCGCACCCGAAGCGAGAATCACGCCTCTTTACCAACGAGCCGGTGACCGCTGCCGTCACGTCCGAATTGTGAAGCGCTCCGTCACTTTCGAATTATTCAGGTAGTGCTTCCAGGCACTTAGTCCGCACCCAAGACCGCTTCAAAAGCTGAAAACGTAAGGTTTTCTAGTGGCGTCATTTGACGTTCACAAATTTCATGAACCGAAAACTGATGTAAAAGGAACAGACAGGACATCGCAGGTCACGACTGAGAACCCAGTATGAAGCAACGTACACAGGGCGGGACGAAAGGGTGCGCACGGCGGACGACGAGGCAGGACGGAGGGCAGAGGCCTTGGGATAAAGGGCAGAGATCCAATGGTTGATCGGACAGGATCGGAAGACAAAAGACAGGGTACGGGGATGACAAAAGGGGAAAACAGGTAAACACAGTATGCTTCCTGTCTTGCTGTCCGTCCCGTGCCGTCTCGTTCCGCTCAGGACGGGATGTGATTGGTCATGCCTTGTTCCGTCGTTTGCCCGTTTGCTGGTCCAGCCTTCTGCTCTTTTGGCTCCCCCACACGCATCCCTTTAAATAGTTTGAACCTCGTCAACGCTAACGTCAACGCAATCCCAACTCTCACGGCCAAGGCCGGTACTAGGGCTATGCCCCTTCACAACAGGCTACACCCAGTGCTTCACGCCTTTGCCTTGTGAGACGATGGTGATATGGCTAGTGCGCTCGGAGTCGTCCATCGTACGATGAAAAAATAAAAAAGGAGTTGCTCCAAGTTCCCCAAGTTCCCAAGTTCCCAAATCAGGGACACTCCCTTTAAAAAGGCGTATTCCTCATTTGTATGGAGTTCTGAACTGAACTAATCGTCTTGAAGATGATTGGATGCAATTCACAGCACTGTCTTTCTTGAGACCTTAACCCCTCTAGTTTCTTAACTCCACTTCCGCGAAGATGTGCAGGCTATTTCGGGAAGGCTATTTCAAGGTCACCCAGGCATCTATGACGCCATAATGTTATGCAACTCATGCCATTCTATCAGCCATGTGGCGATAAAGGTCAACAAAAAGATAACGTCATGTTGCACAAGGTACTTTGACGTAACCAAACAGAAACGTATTGAGGAGCAAGTCTACGAAACAGAGAAATTGTGTTGTCTAGAGCAGTCTTCCCCGCTTATAGTTGTTATAGTTATTAGTTAGCTTATGCACTTATAGCTATTCGTTAGCTATTTCAACACATCTGATGCTCAAATTGTTTGTTTCGTTGTTTGCATTTGCGAGGGTTGGCCCTAGCACTGATAACAATTTTGCTCTTACGCCGTTAAGTCTCGTAAAGTGACACTATCGCCAGGCTGCTATCGGCCGTCCGCACCGCAGCGCGCGTTCGCTCACTCGCGTGACTCGATCAAATAGCGCCAAGAACGCCAACGGACCAGGAAGTAATGTGCATTCTCAGAACATAGATTCACTAGGATGTGCGCGAGGCCGGCGCCGTCGCAGGCGGAAGCTCCTCTGAACATGTACCCTGCACGAGATCGTTCGGGTGCATCAGCAGGCATGGCGGTGTCACGGGCGGGCGGCGGAACGCCGGGGGGAGGGGGAGGGGGTGTCTAAACTGCGACACGCCGTTACGACTGAGTGCGTCGGTTCTGCCACGCTATACCTCGTGGAGAGGCACATGATGCCCGGCACGAACCGCCGCTTTGTTGCCCAGAACACTACTTGGCGGACCAGAGCCATGATGGACTGGTCCCCCGACCAGTGGAGCTCGTGAACGGTGGTACTATTCTCAGATAGATCCGTCGCCTGTTGATTGACTTGAACAGACAGTGGAGTGATACGGATCCCGAGCTCGTGAACGGTGGTACTATTCTCAGATAGATCCGTCGCCTGTTGATTGACTTGAACAGACAGTGGAGTGATACGGATCCCGAGCTCGTGAACGGTGGTACTATTCTCATATAGATCCGTCGCCTGTTGATTGACTTGAACAGAC